TGTATTCCTCGTTCACACCCGGCTTCCATTTTAAGGAAAAATCCCAATACTGACTTTAATTTTATTAAATTTTGGAGACACAGTAGCCTTGATCAACTTCCGACAATTCCCAAGAATTAACTAAATTGATTAACACTTGACATAATTGTTGGGTACACAAAGAAAAATCTGACATAAAAACGCCATCTGGATCACACAGTGGGTTCGATTAAACACATAACTAATGAAATGACAATAACAAAAATTTATTTGGCAAGCATAAAAAAGTTAAACAATAACGTTGGAAGAAAAAGAGCCGGTTTTTACACGCACGCAGTCGTTCGAAAGACAAATAAATAAAAAATCTGGATTACTTACAGTTCTGAAATAATCTAATAAATCTGGGGCCCTTTTCATAAAGTAACTTTGCAATTTTTCACTTGTTACTTTTCATTTGCATAAAGTTAAAGTGCAAAGATTATTATTGTATCAAAAAATATTTTAGTCAACGTAGCATTTTGTTTGTTATTCATCTCTACTTTACATATTTTGAGTGTTATCAGGTGTCAAAATCGAGGTCAAAATAGTCTTTATGGGCCCAAATGTTATCTGAAAAGTGCAAAGTGCATAGTGCGGTTGCAAAGTAACTTTATGAAACAGACCCCAGGACGTAAAATTTTGTGATATTCAGGCGCACTTAGAGTTGACACAAAAACATTATCTGACAGCTTCAGGAAACTTCACTTCTTTTTCACTAAACATGATCTTGATGATAGCAAAAGTGCAAAACTGGCTTGTTGAATTAAAATAATGACAAAATTTGGTGGCCTTTCATCCGCTAGAATACTTTTACTTTTAATAAATGACAAACCTTGTAGAAACACTTCACTATGCAACAAGTGCTTGGTTGGCTCGCACTCGTACTAATACTTTTTCCAAAAAAGGACAACATTTCTCACAAACTTTACTAAGCCATGTTACGGCGTTCAAACTGTAATCTCGCAACACGATTACTTTTTCCCAGTTAATTACGTCTCTAACTTAACAAATAGAGCCGAAAGCCCCAGATAACATCGTATCAAAATGTGCAACGCTCTCCGATAATTACTAACAAACGAGCAAAAAGCACCATTAAAACGGTGTCTCTAGTTTTTAAAGGATCCACCACTCCCCTCATATAATAATCTCCTGGTTTTTTGAATTTTTACATAAACCACCAATCACAATTAGACACTTCAGCTTCGACGGAGTGCGTTCCGCGTCCCCACTTATAACCTGAAACGTGTACGTCTTCGTAACACCTGCGTCTTCTTATCAGCGATAACATTATGTGCATTTTTAAATTAATTTTTAAATAAAACACCTTACCTAAACTGAACAACCCACAAAGGCAATAAAATTAAAATGGAAATTTCGCATGTTCAAAAATTTCTAAAAGGAAAAACACACACCGAAGCACATATTCAAACGAACGATCATACTTTGTATTTATTCATAAAAACTCACCAGATTTACACTGAACAATTGAAGTTATTTCACGTACAGGGTGGTCCAACATTTTTAATGGTGCTGAATCCAAAATAACGTCTATATGACGTAGATTACACAATAATCAACCCTGTGATGTATTACGTTAAACTTAACGCGCAGGTTGTCTGTCATTTTACCTATACTAAATAACGCAAAATTGTACATTGCAATGCAGCTTATTGCACAAAGCAAGTTTATTCTTTTTTTTGTAAGATGAAAATAACGAACGCGAGAAGTTCCTATATGTTGTGTGACAACATCCTTTACATTTGCAAATTAATCAACATTCTGCTCTCGATAAAGATACAAAATACAATACCATAATATGGTATTATACTATATATTATGCTCGAATTGTTACTAAAAGTTTATGCATATATTCCTCAAGTGTATGTTTAACGCATGTGTCTCTTTATAAAAATCTGCTCAGTAACTCGTTCTAGAACTCGTTTCTGCTGAGTCTCTGGGTTAAGACCCCCATGACACTGTCCAACTGCAATCCCCAAGAACACTCCCAAGTTCTTTTTAGGGGAATTTTTCGAAAGAAAAAAATCCGCTTACGCGGTGGATTTGTCCATCGGTCTGTTCGTCCGTTCCTCTTCTAACTCGAGAACAGCTATGTCAAACCTTCTCCAATCGATGTTTACAGTTCAGGGATCAGTGCTTTTAAATATTAGCCGGATTAGAAGTCTGGTCTCCGAATGCGAGCTGAGTGGCCAAAAATTCCCCTACTGAAAACCGCTTTTTTGTTTCCTATTCTTGCAGTAGCAGCAAGGTCAAGACAGACGCTGTAATAGTATACCGAAAACGTAAAATAACATAAAACAACAAAGATCGAAATTTCGGAGATAAAATGATAGAAATGATTTTTGTGTTATACGAGTACCGCTGAAATGAAAACGTACTAACCGAATTTTCTCCCAAAAACGATGCATCCAAATCGGTACTATGGTAAAATCAAGTCATTGAGAAAAATCGCCCAATTTTCTTCTTGGTCACTAAAAATGGTTTGTTTCGTATACAGGGTGGCAATTTGAAAACTTACCAAACCCATGTCTTTGTAAATAAACGAGATATTTTAAAAAATCAAAATCCGTTTCGGTAATTCGAAGGGGGAATCCCAATGACATAGTTGGCGACGCACACCCTCCAACCCCCTGCGCCCCATACCCTCCAACCCCCTGCGCCCCAGCCAACCCAACTTTTAAATCTTAAATAGTGACCCCCCATGTGTGATACATCGTTGGAAAGCTCTGAAAAAACTGCTTTCCAACCATACCAAATAGCATTCCATTTCCGTAAGACAGTAGTATAATCTATTCTCAAACTCTTGTCGAACCTTTCCAAATGCTGGTTTTGCAATATTTCGACATTCTTGAATTATTCTCTGTCTTAGTTCGTCTATGTTCGCCGGTTGCGTTTTAAATGCGACAGATTTCAAATGTATCATATTAGTTTATTTTTTGATTTGCACGATAATTACTAAACTAAATGTAATGCTATTTGGTATGGTTGGAAGAGTTTTTCAGAGCTTTCCAACGACGTATCACACATGGGGGAATTACCGCAACAGATTTTGATCGTTTATTTACTAAGACGTGGGGGGTGGTAACTTTTCAAATTGCCACCCTGTATATTATAATAATATAGAAATAATTTTGTTTTGTAAGTTTGACCATACCAATAAATACGAGTACATCTTGTCCAGACGTTGCGTTTCCCTTTTGTAATGTAATGTGAATTCTCTTCCGACCCTCCGTTCTCGAGTTAATAACTATTAGAGCTTCTTCATAAACGTATGTGTTGTCCAGAGGTTCCATTTTCTCATTGTGAGTCCCTCATCAGACACTCCCATCTCGAAGTATTCGCACTTTTTGACATATCCAATACAGGCTTTCCGTTTTCTCTTTGCGAAGTGCCCTTCGTTCTTGATATACATATTGCCTCTTAAAGTTTTGACCCCTACCAATAGACCTGTTCTGTTCAAACGTTTCAGTACTCTTTTAAGTACGCTCGTCCGCTCGTCGACTGGGATCTATGAAGGGTTATTGCCGATCTCGATACGCCATCGTAGATCGTTCCTTTCGTTGAGACCTTTCTTCGAGCCTTTTTTTCAAATTTGCAGATGCAAAAATTGCAAAGTCCCTAAAAGTAGTTCAAAACTGTAGAAGTGGATTTAAATGGACTGACGGACGTATAGACAAAAAGTAAACCATAGCATTGTTTTATAATTTTTAGGAAAATGCACCAGAGCAGAAGTTAGCAATTGACAAGATCAGAAATTATCGAGCAATACCAAAAATCTTGCTTTGTGAAACCATTTCATAATATATTTAGCAACAACCCATTTTTGACTTCGTGATTAGAGTTCGGTTATCATTTGTATAATATTGTTGTATGGGTGGTTCATCCAAGCAAAATACGGCACAAACGACAGTTGCCGACGAATATTTCTGCTCCCACTTGGTGCGTATTTTGCAAGGTCAATGATCACATTCGAAAACAGCATACATGACTAAATATATTTTTACTTTTAAGTTTACTTGAGTCGAGTATTTGAATTTTCAACCCCTTAGCTGAGATATAAAAAAGATCTTTATGCATTAAATTCACGCACACTCTCAGTATACCTACTTTGTATAAATGAATGCGAAGACGAACCAAAGTTCAAAGCAAGAATAAATCTGATTGTTACCACCTACTCGATTTACATTTTAGGCTAAACTTTATAGCCAGTGGAATCATCCTAAATAACTGCCGGTCCCATTCTTTACATGTGTATAATATTCGTAAATTTAGGTGTATTTATGGACAACATAAATTTCAAGAGTCAACATTAGGATGTTTATTTCAATTACACCCCTAAATTCTCTTTAATACGACGAACGTTTAGAGCGTTAATAAAATATATCTCAGTCCAGTTAACGTTCTTTCAAATAGAAATGAGGTCATAAACGTTGAAAATAATTTGTTTTATTGTATCCGCAATCCCTTTAAACTCGATCGAGATCTTTAGCTCCCGCAGATATTAAATGGGGTGGGCCGTCGTTTTAAAATCTTTTTTTGTAAATTGGTGTCGGTTGTTTTGTACAAGGTTTCATTTTAAAGCTCGCCGCTTTTCTGCTTCAGATTAGGTTAGTCGTCTGGGGAAATGTCGAAATTTTGGTGTGAATTGTATAGCTTCGAATAATACAAGATGGGATCGCCTTAATTATTTATTAACGTCGGACACAGGCGCATTGTGGCTGCTTAATGAGTGGTTAATTATTGATTTTCAATGAATCTTAATGATTCCAAGACCTGTCAACTTCCGTGATGTATTGTTCCTCAAATTTAATTAATAATCAGACGTTATCCGTTGCGTTTTACACAAGGTGGGCATAAAAATCTCATTTGCGTAATTGATCGTTTCCATTAATCAATCTATCGTTATATTATTACAGTAGAGAAATTTGAATAAACCGGGGACTGAAATGATTTATTTGTTGCAGGGCACGGACATACTGGAGGCGCACTATCCGAACATCACTAAACCTTTTTTACGTAGCAGTAGCGATCAGTGCAACTATAAAAAGTATAGTACGGAAGGTTGGTTGTCGGGTACTCCATTAATTGAACTTGATGGTAACCACATCGAGGGCGCAGCACGAAGCAAAGTGTCACGAAGCAGTAGTCCGGCAGCTGTTGAGGAATCCTTAGGACTGAGTCGTACCAATTCTGGGGTCGTGACGCAGATTTCTATATTCATTGAAGTCGCATTATTACTGCTGACCTTTTTGTACCGCTAAATGTGATCTCTTAAAATAATCTAAATCCTTTAGACTGGATAGATAATATTTCAACAAGTCAAGTCATAGGGGCCTGCTGTGAAGATAATCAGTGATGTTGAGATGAGTGAATGTGTTAGTGTATGTATCGCGTGGTTGAATTACAAGACTTAAGTGGCGGCTTCCAGACTTTCTGTTGTTATTAATTGATAAAACTAATTTTAATTGTTTATTCGTTATTGTGCAATTAAATCAGCCGTGATTATTTTGTGACTCTGTGCGTGGAAATGGAGCCGTCATTCTAGTCCGTTAAATGTAGAGACATGTCGGATATTGTATATTATAATGAAGTGATGTTAAATGGGACTAACGAGAGACAAGAGAGCGCATATTTAAACTGTGTTAGATACTTATCACATTTGTCACCTAATCGGATACGATCCGCCATTTGCGCCGCCGTCTGGAGCTGTGATGCAAGTAGAATAAGCACTTAGAAAGTTTCCGTTTCTATGTTCTTCGTTTGGTTGCTAAAATTGTTAGGATTTTATCACACCCTCCTATTCTTTCCACTTTTAGTTTCCCCCTTTGTAATTACGTGTAAATTCTTAATGCAATCGTTTTTGTATTTATTAGTCTCGACTGGTGCTATATAATTTTTAATGTACCCATTATATGTACTATACTTTTATTTATTATTACCGATATGGATACTTGTTAGAAAGAAATGATTCTGTACAGTGTAGATAAACTCGTGTAATATATTTTATAAATAAATCTCGAAGAATAAATAGCTAGCAATAACATTATAAGACTGGTTTGATTTGTAAATAAAGAATCACTTTGCGGATGCTTAACGAGGCATTTCGAAACGGGAAGTTAGATGAATAGTAGTTGTAAAAGATTCAAATGGCCGCTGTTCCGGATGTTACGTCACTAGACTTGTTAAATGAATAGTAAACAATCGTTGCTAGAATGCACAACTACAAATTAGTCACTATTAATTCAAATACAATTGGTTACGTGTTGCCGTTCCTTCGTTTAAACCCGTTAGCATAGACTACATTTTAAATAGTGTGAGCGCCATTGAAATTAGGGAGCTTAATCATGGGTTTGTTAAAAGCGTCGTAGTTGTAACGATTTCATCGCGTACATAAATTAAGTAAACGCCTTCAGACTATATTTCTCTTTAATTACTGATAAACTTTTCAATACAAATTTAGATTGTAACTTAAACACATTTATATTCAAGGAGAGGTAAGTAATTTGATATCGTTACAAAATACAACTAACCCACCTGCCATTCACACGCACGTTGATAGAAGTCCGCTAATTTTTCACTCGAAACCCAAACCGGATTCGGAATTGAAAGTAATTTTAGTAATTGATGGATAAGTTATGTTTTATTACTTTTCACCATGCTAGCAGCTTCCACAAATGGGGTAAGATTTGACTGATTACGCAAGTGAGGAAAGAGAGGCAATATGCTTCATGTTTCCATTAATCTTTCCAACGAGCTTAGTCACCATCACGATCGAGAACTGTGTTTTAAGTTTGAACGTATTCTGAAAATGGATTGTGCTATACGTTTCTATATGTATCGTCCACATAATAATAGAAAAGAAAAGAATAAGATGCACCAATATAGACAACGAGCGTCAAGGTTAACGAGTATTGACCAATATTTATTCAGTTAGGTCCCTGGAGCTGGACCCATTACTGAAAACAGAATTGGAAAGTTTGAAACTTTTCGTGAGTTATCATGTGCACAGATGGACCAAGGGACGAATAAAGTGAAAAATCGGAACTCAACCGGACGTAACCTTGTCGCTCGTTGTCTCTATTGTGCAGTTTATTTAGCCAATTTTTCAAAAGTTTAACCTTCGTCAAGGAATCTTCTGGAAACCTACAGATAGACCTACGCAGGTAAGTAGAAGAACTGAAGAACCAAACTAAATTAAGGTACTGTATACATAAAAGATTTGCAAAATGGGGCTCATGACACTGTTATAAAGAAACTGATATTTATATTATAACGCGTTCCTCTTGTGTCTTCTTTGCAAAAAAAGGAACTATTACAAAACGCAAATCTTACAAATACAATATCGTGGAGAAATCGGGAGAATTTGGGAAACATAATATTTCATACAATAACGGTTACTTCGCGTAACAGTTTCTGCCTTTCTGGTTATTCAAAATAGTTCGCTAAGTGTACGACGTATTTTTTTAATTCTATGTTTATAATCATTTCCTTATATACCCACAAGGGTGTAAGGAAATCTTTACATTCTACTTATTTTATTTACATTTTATTTTCTTATTTCAGTACGTTTAGGTTCCTTATAAACCTATTTCTATCCGTCTTCTGCCATTACTTTTGCTTTCGCCCACGTTCTTTCTCTCTTTTTTAATATCTTCTCAATTTGTTCCCATCCTTGTTTTTGTTTTCCTCTTGTCTTCTTGCCTTCTCAGATCTTTTTGGTTTGTGTACTGCTGTCCATCCTTAGTAAATGCCTCCACCATCCTAATTGCCTTCGTTTGATGAATTCTTCTACAGTTTCCTCAGTCCGGACACTGTCTTTTCTGGTTACCCCCTTAACTCTCCTTAAGTATTTCATCTCAACTGCTCTCATTTTGCTGTTCTCTCTCTCTCCGTTAGTAGGTACCTATGATTCACACATGTGATTATTGATCTATATATTGCTTTGTAAATCTTGATCTTTGCTTCCTTCGTGATTTCTATCTTGTTGATGATCCATTTGCTTAGTTTGTAATACAGTTTGTTAACTTTTCCAATCCTGTCAAGCTCCTTGATTTTCCGTTTCTTTTAGAGATACCCCCTTACTAACACTATGTCGTCTGCAAATGCGTATTCAGACATTTCCAGATTTTTATATCCCACGGGGGTTTGTCTTTAGTTTGGCACTTCTCGTTACTTGGTCCATGAATATAATAAATAAAGATGGGCTTAGGTTTCCTCCTTGTCTGACTCCGTAGTATTACAGACCAACGCATCAGCTCCCTTCTTAAAGATTCTAAAAATATTTCTGTAGTAATTTTGTCAGTCCTTGGTGTTTTGACATTTTTTAATTCATTTATCACTCGTCCATTGTTTATTCGCCGTTTTCCTGCTTCTTTCTTTCTTCTATTACACTAATATTTTCAGCTTCATCTACCCTTTTCTGTTGCGCATTCTCCATCCAATAAGAGCAGCTGCTGGAAGTATTGCTTTCGTCGCTTCATTGCTTCCTTTTCATTTCTTAGAACATCCCCTTTCTTATCTTTAATTTCTATGAGATGTCTTCTTATTATTTCTGAGACTTTTTAAAACTTTGAGGAATAATTGTTTGGTTTTCTTTGCTGTTCCGTTCGAGTTTGACTCCGAAGTATGCCCACGATCTTTGTTTGACTTCTCTTACTAATTTTCTCACTTTTATTCTTTACTCGTTCTTCATAATTTCTTTCTGCTCTATTATTCAGGTACTGTTGCTATTTTGTTTTCTTAACTCTTACTTGCTGCTTAATTTCTTCCGCCTACCATGTCGTTTGTTTCTAGTTTCTATTTTCTGTGTATATTTCACATGTATTTTGGCTGCCTCAATGACTATGTTTCCCACAATTCTTCTGTTCCACTACTTTCTATATAAACCTCCACTTCAATTTTCTATGGCTTTCTTGTTGTTTAATGTTTTTCTATTTACTTTTTCTTCATATCCTTTGGTCACTTCTTTTTTCCTTTAGTTTGTATGTTTTAATTATATCTCGACTCTTATTTACTTCCTTCTCCCTCGCTGTGCCTTTCTCTCGTTTTTCCGTTCCGTTCACAAGAAAGTGATCACTCAATTCATCCTCTTTTAACCTTCACATCTTTAATTGGCTTTCTATTTTATCTCTATTATTATACTAAATATACAGGATGTTACATGACCACAAGTAAAAAAAAATGGTGTGATAGAGGGGATCAAGACAAGCACTTTTTCCAAATAACCCGAGGGTCTAACGTGTTTCGTTTGGGAGCCACCCTCAAAGAAGTGGTAAAATTTGGATTTTTTCTTTAATTTGTTTCTCAGCAACCATAAGAGTTACAAAGATGGGTAGCACGTCTTTGAATAGGTTTTCGGGTATGCCCTATTCGATTTTCAATTTTTTTTTTCAAAATTCCTACCACAAAAGGGCGCACCCCTAATTGGGAATGGGAAAAAATTTCCATTTTCGACGAAATTTGGTATCTGGGTTTTTTTAACATGAAAATGACGAATCTGGAATTAGGTTTTGAAAATTCGAAAAAGTTCCACTGCAATTCTTGGCCGGAGAACAAAAATGGAGACAATTCCACGAAATTTGTTGTGTACATACTTGGTGAGTTAAGGAACAAAATTGTCGAACAGTTTTTTAAAATAACTTTTCAAACAAAAGTTATACTCATTTGAAGATTGCGCCTTCGGATTACAAAGTGTCCCCCGCCTACTAGTGTGTGATCTAATTTCGCATGTAGTTAATTGAAAACGTCGCCTCGGAGGTACACCCTTCTTATGTGCATGCAACTCTCCGCTTTACCTCCGGCACTCTTAAGCTCAACAATATAGTAACAAAATTCACTCATCCAAATGACCTGAATATAATCTAAAGAAATAAGTGAATGTTGTTTTTTTTAAGCTACGATATAAAAGTCCGAGCTATTAAAAACATAAAAGTAGTAGTAGGAGGGAAAATATAAGGCGAGGTTTATAGAGAAGACCAAAAATAAACCAAGAGACTAAAGAGATTAAAATGTGTTTTAATCCCGAAAATGTCAAAACTTTTTAGTAGAATCCGACCCCTCGAATAGGTATCTGGTTCCTCGTTGGAAATATGCCAGACTACAGATGCATGTGGTGAGTACAAGTACAGACTGACGTCGTGACCGGATGCCCGTTACAGTTGTTTCTGTTCATAAGGTTAATATTTAACAACTTGCAGTAAAGATATAATGGGGATCAAAACCTACGTCATAGCTTGCTTAAATTCGATATGAAAATTGACAAATTAGTAAATGAAAAAATAATTTAGTACATACAAGGTGTGGTTATGATTCAAGGTAACACAAACATTGCAATCTCCTGCATATACAACCCACAGAGTGGCATATATCAGTCTCTCATGTACTCCATAAATAATAAGCATTAACGTGAGATAAGGGTCAAATATCGATTGCTCTGCGAAAGTTTTAAATTTAAATCAAGTGACTAATCAATTAACCCGTGTTTCAGTTTCTACCGCGGGCTACAAAAACTAGCGCATTGATACATCTACCCTCAGATTCAGTATTTATAGAGATTTATTCATTTTGTTGGTACGTAAGGTTGCTACGTATTGAACTAATTACTCTCTGTATATGCAGGGTGGGATGTTACAGGTTATTGTTAGGTACAGCAAAATAAATTACCCATCCAAAAACGGGGTTTCCAAAAGTTACGATGCGAGAGGGGTTTTGTCACGTGAGTCACGTCGTTGATGGTGTTTGCTAGAGGAAAACCTGTCAAGCGACGTATGTGCACTCTTACAGGAAACAGGGGGAAAGAACGTAACCGACATATACTAGAGACGAGAATTATACAAGATACACCTGGGCAGATTATCTTGCCAAATGACACAGAACATGGAGCTGCCCTCTCACAGGTAACCGAGGAGGTAACAGTCAAATAACATACACGAACGGAAAATGTAAAACATTTATTAACACAATTAACCAATTTTTTATTCTTCGTTCAGATTTACTACGTACCGTAAAGCAAGCAAAGTTGTTGAGCAGCTGATTACGTAGGAAAGG